TTTGTGAATTGGGAGAATGCTGACACTTTGCATAGATTCAGGAGTAAATCCAGTTGTGATGATATTTTCAATAATTTGAAAAATTTCCTCCTGTAATTCCTTACACATGTATTTGATAGTTTTTTGTCTTAAACCTAGTTCATTGGGTGCTGTGGATTTCAAATTCTGAATTATCCATTCTTTCTCTTCCGTGGTAATTCTACCGAGTATTTTGTCATTGCAATTATCAATTAATGGATGTTTGTACTTGAAAAACTTGGTAATGTCAATTTGATGATTTCTTCCTCTAAAGTTGAGGTTTTGTTGATATTTGTCCTTGATCACATTGGCAACTTCATTGGGGTCACTAATTTCAGTTCCTTCGATAGATAATTTGTATGGTGGTGATGACGTTTTGTAAATTTTCTTTCTCAGATGTTTAGAGTTGGTTGCATAGTTTTGTTCCCACCATTTCATCTTTCTGTTCAAAGCCTTATCATGGCTCCATTTGATATGGTTCTTGATTTTCTCTTTGACACTTGCAAGACATTTTGGAACCTGTTCTAAAGTTTTACCAATAGTGGTCAAAAGTTTGTCACAAGGATATCCGTGCTCATTTCTATCAAGTATTAACATGAGCTTCTTATATTGCTTCTTATATTGCTTATTATATTTGTAGATTTTAGGATCAAGTTTAGGTGGATTGACCTCCACAAATTTGTCGCCTAGTTTATCACAAATGAAAAGCCATTTGTCGTTATCAGATTCTAAATTCTTAACTTGAGATACACATTCTTTGCTAATGGCCAGCACTTCTTTCTTATTTTTGGGATCTTGAAAGTTACGCTTCTTCCGAATTAACAAAGGTGTTCGTTGACATGAGAGGTCAAGTAGAATTTTAACCATTTTGTGATCTGATATGAAGTTGGCATTCAGTACTTCTCCAGATGCAATTGGAAAATCTGTGGATATGTAATCTATTATAGACTTGGATTGTTTGTTAATAGTATAATGAAGGTGCCATGATAAATGAGGGAAAGGATAGTAATTAAGATTTCTCTTGTTAATAAGATCTAGTATGTTTTGATCAGTTCTTCTAGATTCGTTTGAGGAGTGATTCTCGGATAAAATCGCATTGTAATCACCTCCAATAATGATTTTGTAGTTAGGATATTTTTCAATTAGGTTGTCAAGAATATATGTGAATTCACATCTGTCAGCTGGTTGATTTGGAAAGTACGCAGAAATTACTAGAGTATTAATTGAATTGATTTTACATTTCACGCCAATAATTCGCGCGTTATTCTTAATGATCGGATCTAAGATGATTTCTTCAATATCTTTGAAAGTGCTTTTGTTGAGGCAAATAGATACACCACAGGAATCTCTTGGATTGTGATAATATGTAAATGAAGAATAATATATAGAGGGAAAATCTGGACCAATGTAGACGCTTTTAACTTCCTGGAGCATGATTATATCAGGAGTGATTGAGTTGAGGTAGCCTCTTAGGGCTGATAATGGTTCTGCTCTGAGACCATTAATGTTGAGGGTTAGAATAGATAATTCTGGAGCTACTGAAGTGAATCAAGTAGTTTTAGCTTTTGTGACACTCATCAATTTCCTCTTGATATATCTTCCTCTTGGTATTATCTTTTGTACAACCAGACAGAAATGTTAGAGTAGCAATTCTATTGGTAATCATTAATTCTTCATTATTTGCTCTGATAATATTAGCCATTTCCTTAAATCCCATAGCCAATTTCTGATTCTGTCTTGCCTCAAGTTCTGCAATTCTTTTATCCATAGAAGCTTCAATTCTCTTGATTTCTTTTAGGTGATCTTGTTGCACTTTTTCAAGAGTAAAGGAAACGTCTTTCGCTGCAATTTTAGAAGATCTGCCTAAATTTTGTGAAATTTTGTGAACTGTATCAGGTTTCTTTTCCAGGAAATCTTCTAGCATTGGATAATTGAGAGCAAAATCCAATGTCCATTCATTCATTCCATATGCAGCATGGTTTACCAATCTGATGGCATTAGATAGATTGTTGAGTCTAATCAAACATATTCTCTTCTCTTGATTGATGATAAGTATGGATACAGGTTGGTCATTATTGTATTTTCTGGCAAGAGAGGATTCCGTTTGTATTCTAGCTCTAATCAAATCATTTCTTTCAGGCCATCTACCAATGATGTCAGAGTATTGTACATCCATTGCATAGTTGAATGGTATGTCGATTTTCATAGTGACTGTTTCCTCTGTTCTAGGAATAGTGATATCATATGTTTTTGCCTTACATAGATTATTTCTGGCTTTCATACTTTTGACAGTGATCACTGCTGCCATTTCTTTACCAATTCTAGCTGTAGCAATTTCAACAATGGGTTCACCAGTATCGCTTTCAATAGCATTCCTCCAATCTGCCTTGACTGTAGTTTTCCATAGTTCTCCTATTGGAATATTATGGACACGTATAATTTTGTTGGTGTCGTTTTCACATGATGAAGTGATATTGACTTCTTTAAATTTTGTACGTAATGTTTCAACTGCCTGTTCTACTTGAGCGCAATCTTCAATAGTGACAATTATGGTATTATTGAGCTTAATAATCGGATTGATGGTGACATATTTGCCACTAAGTTTGTCCTTAATTAATTCAATTACCTCATTCTCTTCAAATATTTTGCTATATCTAACAGCAATATATCTGGGAGGAGTGATTTCCTTCACTGCTATGTCATTGATGTTGAATTCTTCATTGTCTTGTTGGACATTACTACTTTTCTTGTTCTCAGATAATAGTTTGTTAATATTCTTCATTCTTTCCTTCCATAACTCCCAAACATGTTTTCTGTCTTTATGGTTTTTAAAAGCCTTTCTTTCTGTGGTGATTTCGTATTTAATGTCATCAGAGAGTATTCTGAGAGTGGCTTTTACAACATGTTGGAAATTTAAGGTCATAGGGTTGTGTGGGCTAGCAATAACAGATACAATTTCTAAAATCTGATCAGTGTCAAGAAGAGTTCTGTTTGTATCTAGTTTAGCATTATTGTGTTTGAGAAAAGTTTTACCAACAATTTCATCAACTGACATGTCTTGTATGTTGAGGTTATTAGTCAGCTCATTATCCAACAATTCAATGTTGTCTTGGTTACTCATGCTCATACTATTAGTTTTAGCGGCCAATTCTTCATCAGCTATTGGATCAATAGTTGGGTACAATCTAGTGTCAACACTAGTAGAGCAATTGTGAGTAGGGTTGAGATTATTTGTCAAATTGGGCTCATTATCTACAGATGAACTAGCAGAAGCAATGTAGTCGTTTAATGATTGAAGTGAGCTAGAGTGCTTGGGTCCATGATTGGATCCATGGTTGGGTCTTGTTTTACCGATCTTGCTGGGCATCCTAATTGAATTATTCTTCTTTTTTTTTAATATGTATAACGAATCTGATCTTGTTAGTCTGATTAAATACCATTCAGTCAATAGCGCTTTGATCTTAATAACTGCCATCGTAATAGGGTCTTGATTACAGTTTGATCACAACGGTAACAATCTCAGTACTTATAACCGGTGGTAGTTGTACGGTACCAAATCAGTACAGTACTTCGTAGAGAGGGAGAGATAAGTTTTAAATTTAAGTTTAATGATTCGGAGATGGTTCTTTGGGTGGTGATAAAGGGTGCTCAAGGTGAACACCTAGCGGAGGTGTTGTGTTATTTTTTTTCCTCGAATTTGTGATTGCATTTTTTTTGATTTGTTGGTGTCGATTATGAACACTTCCATCAATTTTCAATAAGAATGACAAATAATGTTTTGAAGACATGGTTGAGATTTATTGTATGTACATTAAAGATGGACCTAGTTCTTTTGTCTTAGATTGTTCTCTTCATTCTGCGAGAAGAGAGCGAGGCGTGGGCGAGTAGATATTTACAAAACGGTTTTGTTGAAAATTTGTTTCTTCACAATAATTAATTGTTGCTTCTTCTATTGATACTTTTCATAAAATTTCGAATACTCTGTCGTGGAAATCCATTGCATGAACACATTTCGGATAACATCACCCGGTAATTGCTCCGAAGCATGATATTTACGAGGAAGTGAGATGGCATAAGGTGGAACTGTTCTCTTATTACTTGAGCTCTTTTCAGTGTTCACATGCAAGTTTGGTTTCTTCTTCTTTTGCAGAGGTTTCGACATTGGTCCCACTTGTTGAACTTTTATGGGTGAAGATGACGATGAAACAACAACAATGGGTTTAGTATCAGCGAGTGACAAACTTTTCACTTGTTGAACGATTGAGTCTACTTCGGAGTGATGAGGTTGTGAAGCTTCTGTGTCCATCTTCAAGTGAGTCGTAACAGTGGTTTGTGGTTGTTGAGGTTGTTGTTTGATTGGTTGTTGTGTTGGCATTTTCACTTGTTGTTTCTTACGAGGATGCACGTGGTCCAATTCAATGTTAATACTTTTAAAGAGTTTTGCGAGAATAGCCATAATGATATATTGCGGGGTAATGAGGAATGTTCAAGGAAGAGAAGATTGTGAATGTAATAGTGTCAATGTGAATATTTTCACGTCGTGGTTGTAGTCACTGTTGCGAGATGTTGTGGATTTCTTTTTTTTTGTTTGAGTTACGGATCATCATGTGTGCTTTTAATAGTGATGAAAGGAATTTCGCGCCAGCAGATCGGACGAATTAGAGGAGCAATAGAATCTGTCAACAAAACGAAAGACGACATCCGACAGTTTGAACAACAGAAGGAGAGGAACAAACCGACTGAACTCTTGTGTGCAGTGAATGAGGACAACTCTATCGAGAACAAAGAGTGATCAATATTCATTCAATGGAGGATCTTGAATTAGCAACAGTCATCACCCTCTACGCTTGGGATGGAAGTGGTTGAGGTCTCTCGCAGAATATTCCAACTGAGCATTACACGCGATGGGAACATTGTTTGTGTTAATTTCTAATTACTTCCTTTAGTATGCTCAAAACTGAATATGGTGCATTCCGAATCTTGTGATTCGCGAGATAAAGATAGAGTCGTAACAAATGACGACACTTTCTCACGAATCGTGTTAGGTCCGAATCCAAAGTCAGTGGTTGAGTTTACAGTAATAAAGATGCTTTGAGAATTTGAGTTTACAGTGATGAGATGAACCGAATCATCCTGAGAGTTTGGAAGAATATATTATTCAAGTACCTGGATGGTTTCAAGGAAAAGTCTCTCAATTTAAGCAATTTACAGTCTTCTCGTTTCATTCCCACTCTTCTTTCTTCCCTCAAAGCTGCTAGAGATATAAATATATAAAAGAGAACAGATCTTTACAATTCGGAAGACTGTTGTTTAAGTGTCTGGTGAATCCAATTCAAGTAAATTACTTTTCCAAGTTTTGAGTCAAAACTATCGGGAGTGCCCTTCGGAATTCACAAGAGCTAAGAAACACGTGTATCGGATTGAACGCTCAACAAAAACACGACTGAGTTGCTCACAAATTCCTATGAGGACCTCATAAGGATTCAATCATCATGTTTTTAAATATTTTTAGAACCATTTAAAAAGTACTCAATCAAAGGCTTCATTGAGGACTAAGTTTAAAAGAAAATCTCAACTATTCGTTCTTACTCTCTTTAATACAGAAACAACATGTCTCGAAAACTCAAAGTTATTTGCCTATTGATCGCCCTGATGTGTTGTGTGGTTCTTCTCTCAGCGAATCATGTTAAGGCAGCAGACGAAGAAGTAACTGTAGAGAAAGAAGGACAGTCACAACAGACTCCAACAGATCAAGCCTCAATTCCATCAAACGAGAAAGACAACAAAGAATTGAATACTCCCTCGAACAAGAATCCACCCGAATCAAGCTCTCTCGATCTGGATAGGAACGAATGGAGAAACTTGATGAAACAATTAAGAAAGTATCAGTTCGGAAATGACTGGTTTGAAGATCATCATGACTCTCTATTCCCTTCCTCATTCTTTGGTAATCGATGGTGGAATAGAATGTTTGATGACGATGAAGATGATTGGTTCTCAAATTCATTCCGTAAAATGAGAAGAAGAATGAATAATTTGATGAAGAGACATTTACTTCCTTCCATCTTTGATGATCATCAGTGGTGGGAGGATTGGAGTAACACTATCAATTCTTTGAGAAAGCCTGCATTAGAGTCAACCAAAGATGAATCTTCAAAAGATAAACAGGTTGGTGTTCCAACGAGAAGAGGTCCTATTTCCTCCCATGTGAAAACTTCATCCAATGATGAAGGAAATGTTGTGAGTGTCTCTGTCACTAACATTCCAAGAGATGTGTTTGACAAGAAAGATATTGAGGTTAAGGTTCAAGAAAATGTTCTTGGAGACATGATCATTATTAGAGGAGAAAAAGAAAAACTGACAATGGCCATTACGAATTTTCCAAGTCGTACAGATTCCCAAAGGGCTCTATCGACATGGACAAGGTGAAGGCGATATTCACAGATGATGGTAATCTTAGTGTGACATTGCCTAGACTTGATGCACCTCCACAAAAGGAGAAAGTGAGATCTATTGCCATTGAATAAATAAAATTATCTAATGTATTTTACATTTGTTGTGTAGTAATATGTTACATATCATCAGTAAAACGAGAATTGAATTACGTGGCGATTAAGGAATATTCGTTGTTGAACTTTTCTTTTTGTCTTTAGCTGCTTCTGCAAAGCTGTTCATCGTTCAATTTAAAAATTTAAATTCGTCTCATGAAATATTCAATTCTATACATACTATTCAGATAAAAACTCAAGAGGATCATCAGGTTTCATTTCCAAAACTACAATTCGAAACAATGGTCATACAACACAGGTCAATTTCCGATCCAAAGGAGCTCCATTGTATCAAGTGATTACAGTTTAAACAAGTACGTACTCTGTGTAATGGCATTCTTCAGATGGGCTGTCACCAATGTCTGATCCAAATATTCAACCGGATTGAGGGACGAAAGAAATAATTGTTGTTTGCTCTGTAAATGAGGATGAGGTGGTGGATTCATTTTTCATGATGATCGGACTTGCTGTTGTTTTCTTTTTCTCATTTTGGAAAGCGTATCCAAGGAGTGTTGAAAAGAGTCGGCACATGAAGCCTCGCCTTTGTATTTTGGTAAAGACCTCACTTGGTGTTTTTCAACTTTCTTTTGCAGAGATGAGGTGAAATTCAATTTGTTTATTTGCCATTCAATCATTTTGAGAAAAACTCCAAACCCCACCTCACTATGGGTGAGTGCATGAGGTGCAGGTGCAAAAAAAATGTCAAGTTCATCGAACCTGGGTGAGCCTTCGGTTCTTCCCGAAGAGGAATTGCTTCTGGAAGAGGAGAGACCCCTCCCATCGTCAGCATCACCAACGACTAACGACAATGAGAACGGAAACAACGGAAACAATGGTAACACAACTAATGCAAAGAAGGGAGGTTTGACTGTGTCCTTTACGTCTAATCATGCAAAAAAAGGACCAATAGCTCGAAAAAGCAAACTGGAAGTTAGCAAATCGTCATCAAATATCGATACAGATGTTATGACTCCATTGAGTTCCATTGTTGAGCACAGTTTTTTACCCAATCCTGTAGTAATGCAACAAGCAACCGAAGAATTCGAAGAGAAAGTTAAGGAAAAGGAGCAATTGAGAAAGTCATCATCCTCGGGTTTCTTGCCTGGAACAACAACTCCATTTTCTCCACCGTTTTTAGATTTGGCAATACCAACTCCAACACCCATGACTGCCGTACCTGGAGCACTTTTCGTTTACAATGAAGATGCATTTAAAGCAGATTTAGAAGATTTTGAAGATGAATCACAGCTTTTAGAACAAATCAGGTCAAAGGAAGCATGTTTTGCTGAGGAATATATCAACGATGAAATAGTTCAAGTATGCAGTAATTTATTTAAAGTTTTAGAAATGAGAAGAAAGCATCAAGTTGGAGAATATAGCGAAGAGTCCAGAAGAGACGCTCGTCCATGGAACTGTTTCTATCATACGGAAGATTTTGTGGGAAATGTTGATGAAGATGAATTGTTACTCAATTCAAGAAGTCATGCCTATGTAGAACCAAAACAGACCTTTGATCCTTATGACCTTGACGCTTGCAAACATTATCCTGTTACATCTGATGACACGATCTCAATGAGAAAGGGAATTTTTTATGTGAAAAACACACTCGGCCAAGAAATAGTTCCTCCTGTTACTTTTGAAGAGCATTTTGAAACATACAAATTCCTTTCAAACCTCATGTATGATGCTCCCACAAAATCATTTTGTTACACCAGACTCAATGCATTAGAGTTGAAATTTACCCTCTTCAAAAAATTGAAACAATTTGAAGAAATCAAGACGCAAAAGCTTGTGCCTCACAGAGACTGGTACAATGTTCGTAAAGTTGACGGTCACGTGCACTTATCATCCATGGCACACCAAAAGCACTTGCTAAGATATATCAAGAGAAAGCTAAAGCAATGCCCAGATGAAGTTGTCATTGTTAGAGATGGTAAAAAACTAACTCTAGCAGAGGTGTTTGACAGTTTGAACTTGACGCCTTTCGACTTGTCTGTTGATACTCTAGATGTTCACGTTGATAAGACCCAAACCATGCACAGATTTGACAAATTCAATTTGAAATATTCACCTTTTGGTCAATCCAGACTTAGAGAAATATTTTTAAAAACTGACAACATGATCGAAGGCAAATATTTTGCCGAGATGACGCGAGAGGTTTTTAGGGACTATGAGGACAGTAGATATCAACACGCAGAACCAAGAGTATCCATCTACGGCAAGCAATATGATGAATGGCAAAATCTTTCCAAGTGGGTCATCAAACAACGAATGTATAGCCCCAATATCAGATGGCTCATTCAAATTCCTCGACTCTATAATGTTCACAAACAATTTAATGCAATTGAAAGTTTTGAACAAATGCTTTACAATATTTTCAACCCACTCTTTGAAGCGACCAGATGTCCAGACAAGTATCCAGAGATTAGTACATTCTTGAATTACATTGTTGGATTTGATTCTGTGGATGACGAGAGCAAACCAGAGCCAAGATTTCACATGGATTTACCAACTCCAGATGAATGGAAAATTGGTGAGAATCCTCCCTATGCCTACTATTCTTATTACTTTTATGCGAATATTAAGGTGTTGAATGCGTATCGAAAATCCAAGGGCTTGAACACGTTTGCCATCAGACCTCATGCCGGAGAAGCCGGTAATGCTTCTCACTTGGTCAGTGCCTATCTACTCTCAGATGAAATCAATCACGGTATTGAATTGAGAAAGGCTCCAGTTTTGCAATATCTTTATTACCTCTCTCAAGTGGGTTTGGCCATGTCTCCTCTTTCCAACAATTCACTCTTTTGTCCTATGAGAAGAATCCATTCCCTCAATTTTTCCAAAGAGGTCTCAACGTTGCTTTATCGACAGATGATCCTCTCATGTTCCACTTCACTCGTGAACCATTAATGGAAGAATATTCTATTGCAGCGCAAGTGTATCACTTGACAAATGTAGATTTGTGTGAGATTGCCAGAAATTCTGTAATTCAATCTGGATTTGAGGATGTGTTTAAAAAGTATTGGCTTGGAACAACAAGAATGTTTGGAAGAAATGATATTCGTCAATCCAATGTGCCTAATTTGAGACTAAAGTACCGATTTGAAACTCTCTTTGACGAACATTTATTCATTCAGAAAGCTCTTGCAGTCGATTATCTCAAAAAGAAGGTCAAAGGTGCTAAATATGTTCCTCCACCACCAATGCCTCCTGCAGAAGTTTTGGCCTATTTACTTCGTGACAAACCATCCTACTTGGCACTCACATTTAGTTCCATCGGTTCTCTAGCAAATTATCCAGCCATTACCTCTCGAGCTGAAAAGCCATCAACAACAACAGAAACAACAAGGAAAACTTCAAATGCAGCTAACAACATTCTGACCCAACCAGAACCAGGTGTTATTGCTGCCAAAGATAACACTGGTCTCTATGTCCTGTTAACCACAACAACGTTATTGTTGGGAGCTCTTGCACTCAGTAATTTGCGTAAATAAATTCGTTTTGGATCTGATAGCGAGTTGACAATTAAACTTTCGTCATTCGAAAAACCTCTGTCTTTCTGCTTTAAATTTGGTGTAATATGCATTTATATATCATAAATCAAAAATTAATGTGAGTCGAGGTGGCCGAGTGGTTAAGGCGGTAGCCTGCTAAGTTATTGGAGAAATCCGCGTGGGTTCGAATCCCATCCTCGACGAAATTTTTTGCTCCCAGTCGTCTTCGTTGGAGTTGTGGAAAGTGAAGAAGTGTTCCAAATGGTCCTCGAAATGGGTGAAAGTGGAGTCGAGGCAATGGGAGATTTCCTTAAAGATGAATTCGATGAACTCTTAATGGGAGATGAACTGTCACTCTTTTGACCCGAATTCGATCGTTTTCTTGGAGTCGGATGGTGTCGAGGATAATTTACATATTGAAAGGAATACACTTGGCGTGAAGAGTAGTTAAATTTGATTGTGACAATTTGGATCCTTTTCTGTGGATGTCTCTCTCTATTTTGGACATGTTTTATTCGCTACAGCTCCCTTTCCGTCAAATTCACCAAAATCAAATTCACTTCAATCAATTTGTTGTGGCAAGCTCCTATCAAAAAATTAGCAAGAGATGAAACGACTCGTTCTTCGAAATTGTTTGTCTTTTCGGAGCACACCCAAGCCCAATCAACCACACACTCAAGTACCATTGAGTGGTGGTTCAGTTTCTCATAGATTTGGATGTTTTTCATCGAGTCGTCATCAAGATGATCCGACTTTTCATTCGATTGGTACCAACTATCACCAAAGCCTTTCATTCAAAGCTCCCCGAAAGAACAACACCAACAACAACAAGACATCAACAACCACAACCACAACAAACAACAAAACCACACCTCAGGACAACACGTCTACGATTGCAGCTTCTTCCTCCCATGCTAAATCAAACCATAACAACCTTGATGGAGCATCTTCTTCGGATCAAGCAGCAGACACGTATAGACTCACATCTTCAACAGCCTCTCAAAGCATCCATGCTTTACAAGATACAACTCCCAACAGTGTTACGTCCAATAACAGCAACAACACCAACATCAGCAGTTCCACTTCTCCTCTTGTGCAATCTCCATCATCAACCTTACCACTTGAAACAAGCAGCAGCAATACTGCAGCAACGAATATCATCGGGACAACACAACAAACAACTACTCCAATTACTCCCAACATGGATCCAAGTACTCTATTGGCCTCGGGAATGAATCCTCAAGTAGTCAATCCCGAGTATCACTTTACACACAAAAAATTAGGAATTTAGCTTATGAAATTGATCTCATGTTAAAGAGGAGAGGTTATTCCTTGTTTAGAATTTTAATTATTTCTCTGGTTGTCATCTCAGTAGTCATTTACAAATTTGGTGAAAATATTAAGAATTTCTTTAGTCAACACGGAGCTGATGTCGCCTCAAAATCATTGGAATCTAAAAACTTGAAAATGAGTGCCGAGCAATTGAGTAAGGACGTTGTTCAACAAGTATTGAGCGATCCAAAAACAGTTGAGCAAGCTGTTAATTTTCTCAGCCAATTATTCGCAAGAAAAGATACTCAAGATTTATTGGTTGCTCTGTTGTTACAAGTTTTGAAAGATCCAACCACACAAACCTATGTCTCTAAATTTGTCAAGGAGATTGTGGCCATGTACTTGTTGCATGATGAACAAACCATGCAAGTCACTGCAGATTTTGTTTATAGAATTTTACAAAAACCAGAAACAAAAGATCAATTAGTCATACTACTGAATAATGCTCTACAAGACGAATCGTTTAGACAATCAGTTGCTGAAATGTTTTCAGCTGTCATTCTCTACGATGTTGTGAAAAAGAGTGGAGCTGAGCTTGGAAGTGACGCTGTTCACACTGTTCTCGAGGATCAGAACGTGAAACAACACGCCGAATCATTTATTACAGCAGTTTTATTGAATCAGAAAATTCAACACGATGCTGGATTTGCGCTTTGGGAAGCTCTTAAGGTGTCTCTCACACCAACATGGTTCTATCATCCACCAAAAACAGAACAACAAGGAGCAGAACAAGGTGCAACCGCTACAAATGGTCAACAAGCAGAAAATACAACAAGTGATGCCCAGAATAAGGATCAACAAAAAGAGCCTGCTGTTACAGAGTCTGCAAACTCTGTAGCAAACCCAGCTCTTGAACAAGAGCAAATTTCACAAGCAGCACAAACTCCAGCTGTATTGGAACAAAATGGATCCTCCTTGTCATCTACAATGACATTACCATCACAAGACGTGTTGAATCTTTCTAATGATTCATCCTCTTCAAGTAATAAGAATGCCTCCACTTCGTCCACCGTTTCTAACCTTTCTATTCAAGAATCGCCTCCCCTTAAGGATTCAATCAAAGTCGCGACTCCACCTCAAACATCTTCAAAGCCAACAACGTCTACAGAAGTGGTTTTAGTATCAGACAATAACAATAAACCTTAAAAGAGTGGATTCTTAGATGAGAATATGAAATTGACATCTTGAAGAAATTGACAATCACATGACGTCCAAGGAACGGTGATCATCGGTGTGTGAGGGGCGACATGTACTATTAGCGCCCCTGCTTTGGTTCTGCCTGTTGCATCGGTATGTTTCGCGACAAAGGAGTAACCTCGTTAAAATGACGCTCAAGGTAGTAGGTGGGGCATGTGTGAAAACTATAAATCTTGAAAGGTCGTGATCATGCAGCTGACTGTCAACATCAAAAAAATCGACAATCACTCTTTCAATACAACAACAATTCACAACAAATTCACGACACAATGATCACCGTTCCACACGTTGTTAACCTCAACCTCACTGGTCAATGGAGAGAAAATGGTGGCAGAGTCTGGCATTGCACTCAAAATGGTCATCATTTCACATGGACTCAAGAAGGAACAGGAAGAGTTGCCACTGGTATTGCTGTTCCAAAGGTCAACTCATCTGAATTTGCAGTTGTCTTGACTTTTGACAATTCTGTTCATTGGTTGTTGAAGCCATCTCCAGATCATAACCAATTGCACGGACCAAGTGACACTTTCACCAGAGTCTTCCCATTGGTTGCTGAAGCTCCATTCGGTGGTTATCAAGAAAAGAGCGGAAAGGTTTGGCAAGTGACAGCATCTGGTCCAACTTCATTCGTTTTGCACAATCAACAAGATGGTAGAAATGCTGATGGTTTCTTCGCAAGAGATCCAACCAATGGAATGTACACTGTCTTTATCAATTTCCACAACAATGGTCAAGATCACTTGTTGAAGGTTGTGACCAGCACTTTGGCTTCTTTGCCTTTGAGCAATGGTGACGTTTTTACCAAGATTTACTAAATATTGTGTATACGTGTTGATGAAACAATTTTGATGATACACAAATAAAGTATTGAGTATTGCACCAATAATTTAATAATAATTTACTTTTCATAAGTCCATTCAGCAGTGCAGAGCTCATAGTTGGCAATTTCTTGAGGAGTGAACCACAAGTTAATTTCATTGTTAGCAGTTTCAGCACTGTCACTTCCGTGAACGCTGTTTCTACCGACATCAATGGACAAATCACCACGAATTGTTCCTGGAGCAGCAGTGAGAGGATTGGTAGTACCAATCATGACACGAGAGTAAGCAATGACTCCCTTTCCTTCCCAAACCATAGCAACCACTGAAATTCGTAAAATGTTGAATTCAATAACAAGAATTTTCACAAATTGTTATAATTAGCACAATTTCCACATAGTCATTGTACATCATAATTGTGTTGAACATGAAATTCATTGAATGATCATCATATGATTGGCAATATTGATTCATTAATGTTGATGGATTACCATTATCATCATTAATATATTAAAAATTTAAACCATATACATACCTGGCTTACCAGTCATATAATTGACGAGTCCTTCAAAGAATGGTCTTCCCTTCAAATCAGCATAGTGATTTTCAATCAGAGTTTTGGATGGTTGGACCAACTTCAAACCCACAAGTTTATATCCCTTGCGTTCCATTCTACCCATAATCTCGGAAATATTTCCACGTTGAATGGCATCATATTTAATAGCCATGAAAGTTCTCTCATGTTTGGTATTTGGAATACCTTGAGGAGGGAGTTGATCAGCCTCAAGATTGCTAGGAGAGCTTGAGAAGACGTGGCTACCAAACAAAACACCACCAACACCAATAAAAAGAGGAAGAAGGAAACGACGGGCCATTTTTTTCAAACTTTTAGGGCTCTTGAATCATATCGAGACTAGGAATTTCTCGAAACATGAACATGAGAGTCTCTCTTCTTATTACCTCTCATCAGTTCTCTCATCCTATTATTAATTAGAAGGATTTTCTTCAAAACTTACAACTTGATTGCAGATATTTTGTGCTTCAAAAAAATTTGTATCTAAAAATGAAATAAACCATAATTGGAACGTATTTATACGAATTGGATAAAGGGAAATGTCTGGTCATGAAGAAAAGTCCAAGTTCCATAAATTAAAAGCGAGCTTTGGGATGTCTCCATTTTCCCAACGATGTGAGGCTATTCTCAACTTGCTTATAGTTAGGTATGAATTAAGCTCTCGTCTAGTGTGTGTCTCCTAGATTTGTCCTTGGATTCATCTCTGAGAGAAATTTACATTGTTTTTGCAAGAAATTATTTTCCTTAAAATTTATCTTGTAAACTTTAAGGGAGTTCGTATGGTGACAAAAGTATTAAAAGCCTTTCCTTCGAGTTACAACATCTACAACTACAGTATCAAACGACTCGCCAGTACATCAGGATGAGGGTTCTTTGTTTTTATTGATGTTTTGGCATTCAAAGCATACATGCATGTCACTATTTAAGGAGGAGCGCCACAATGACTGTGCAGTTTTGATGGCCTTTCCACGCTTGGTGTTGAGGAGCATCCATTTAAATATGGAGGAGGTAATAGTGGCACTTCCACCATCAAGATGGCGTTGAACTGGTACTATTTTCAGCATAAACATTTGTTTTCAGAGAATGATGAACTGAATTTTAGGAGAGTCTAAAAACACGTGAAGCAGCTAGAAGTGGTCTCCAATGATCGTAATTTCTTACTGCTCATCATGACCATGAAGAACAATATTGAGACTTAGCGAGATGGAACCACTGGTCTCTGTGCAAAATCCAAACTTATTGAGGAAATGTTGATCGAATCCATTCGGTATGGCAGCGTAAGAAAGATCTCTGAGTTCAGTAGAACCTCCAACAAATCTACTTCGCAAATTGTTGCGAATGGAACCTGCAGGTTTCCATGTCTGAACTGTTAATTGATGATAACCGGGAGTGGATGGTATTGAGACAAAACCATAACCTTCCATCCTGAATCGGTCCCATGAATCTTTGGACGTCACTTGGAAGAATAGTTTAGGGGTTGGAGAAATCTTGTCGCACAGACAATCAAAGTGAAATGTAAATGCGAAATGTGCTTCAAAATAATTGTCAAATTCGTTCCAAATCTCAGTGGCTGTACCCATTTGAGTTGAAGCCACCAGTTTTTGAGACATGGGGTTTTCTAATGAATAATTGGAAGGAGATCAAAGTAATACCTCACAAAATACCGATCTGCTTCAAAATCTCTTCCTGAAAGAATGGTTCCTGAAATTGACAACCTGAAATAGTAATTTTAGGTGTGTCATTAAATTCCATTCCTACCAAATTACGTTTCATTTGCAATGATTTTTCATGTAATTGCTTCAAAATCCGTTTTCTGGTCTCATCAACTTTGTTGTCTTTCTTGTAATCGTTATAAAGAGAAATGGTATATTCATAAACAGCTCCATCTTCAGTCCTGAAAATATATCTATTTTCCTTATTTCTGTTATTAAGAAAATCAATGTCTCCAATTTCACTTTGATATCGTTTCAGAAACTCGCTCATAGGTTCCTCTTTCTCAACATCCTGAGGCTTTTGTGAAAATCCTGGTTTCATGAGAAAACTACCATCTGGAAGAGCTTGTATGATACAAATTGGATATTCCTTTCCTTTCCAAATACCCTTGTCCATTGAACCAACACTGGCCATTATGTACATGGTTTGAGCTTTGGATTGTTGCGGAGTGGAAACTCTCTTTTTTGAAATTGGGTACGGTTCATTGGAAGCACAAGGGATAGATGAATGGATTTGATTGGTATAAAAATCGTCAATATCGGTATATGTGAACAATTTGTGCTGCAACAAATCTGAGATTCCTTCAGAACCAAATTTCTTTTTTGGAGGTTTCACTTTCTGTTCATTTTGTTGTTCCTGAGTGGAACTTTGTTGATCATGGTTTGTGGAAGATTTATCACGTTTGTAATCAAACATTTCCATCATTTGTTCAATTTCTAAATCATCCTGTATGTATGGCAATAAATCGATGGATAATTTCTCTTTCCCCAACTTTTCAATTAAGGAATCCACTTCTCGTTTATAAAAACCATCCAAAGTAGTGTTTGGCGTTTTCATTTCATTATAAACCATAATTTCTCTGTTGTTGATTATATTTCAAATGGTGAGAATTCATGATGAGCTGTGGAATTGATTCCAACTTACCTAGGGCTGAATACTTTTTGTTGCCACTGAAATACTGTCACATAGTTTTTATATTCAGTATCTTCGTCGTCCTCTTCGAGATTGGACTCAAGTGATCCAGCGTTTTGTTCTTTTCTCTCTTTCAATGTCTTTTTTCCAATCACCATATTCGTCCTTCGAATAGTAACCTTAATTTTCAAGTTATCCATTGAATCCCTCGAGTAATATTGCACCGTTGAAGAGTTGCTTTTCATGATGAGCAAATCATTATATTTTTCGAATGGATTACTGGCATTTGAGTTGTATGTTGGTGAGAATAAATTAAATAATCGAAATTGCATCATGGTTAAATTGGGAATATAGCCAGATAAGTTTGTTGACATTCCATTAAATCCACTAAAAAACGATCCTGCACATCCATTAAAGCATCCACCGACAGCAGTAATCATCCCACATAGCCCAGTTCCGAACTGATTCAGTAGTGATCCTATAATTCCGACTTGTTGAGTGAGTAAATTTTGTTGGCTCATGTTGTATGTTGTGTTGTTTGCATTATTTGCACTAAGGTTACTCTGAGCCATTGGATTGACCGATCCTCCCATAACCGTCGTATTGTTATTATTATTTTGTCGTTGTGAAGGTTGTACAAATACACCTCCATTGGAGCCTAGGGTCGTTCGTTGACGAAGCCCGTTTCCCGTTGGAGGTCTCTCGTTCAGTGGGACGTCCATCCAATTTTTGTATTTTTTTTGAGGGAAGTTTGTGCACAAAGAACCGCCAAATTTTCAATTTCCAATTTCAAAACAACCACTCAATGTCTTGTTGCAAAGAAGAGAAAGAGGAAACCAAACTCGAGCCAACAATGTGATGAATGTTATTGTTTGAGCTTTTGTCCTCTTGATGTTCTTCACTGGGACTGATTTCTTCTTGCTTTCTTTTGAGAGGAGAAGTAGTAGGAGCATTCTGATGAGGTTGTTTGAGCCTAAATGAGACACACATCATTTCCTTCCTTGGTGCAACATTTCTCACATGGTGAATGTCAACATATTCCATGACATGATCTTGACCAATGACTTGCTCCACTTGCTGTTTGGAGAGTTCTTGTAAATCGTCTCCATCTTTGGCAGAACCTTTCACAAAGGTGTAGCAATGAATGAGTGGTTGAAAATCAATACGAGTTTGATCGACGCGAAAACATCGAGAAATTCAACTGCTGATGCTGGCAAGTTCATAATGACATGATGGAAAACTAATTTCCGCTCTTCAACAAGATATTTGATAAATTCTCTTCCATCCATGTTGAAACACTCCATGTTGTCAGTGACCTTATTAATGATAGCATTTTCTTTCATGTATTCATAACTCTTAGGATTAAGATCATTGGCAAGAACTCGACATCTAACTTTCTTAGCAGCTGGAACTGCAAATGGGCCAACTCCTGCCATCATATCACAAACAACCTGAGATTTGTCAAAAAAGCTCAATAATCTCGTATGTTCCGTTCCGAGTCGAGAATTCCAATAAACTTCTCTGTAGTTAAATTTAAAGGTAATGCCATTTTCCTTGACAGTAACATTAAAATTGTCTTCTCCACACAAAAGCTCCATTTTAAACTCTCTAAACACGGAATCAATCATTCCAATCTTATTTACAACCGTTTTTAAAGTAGGGTTCTTATCTAGCATAACTTGTGAAATCAAATATTTGTATTTTAACACTTCGTCTGGTATATTGAGATGAGCAACGTGGCCAACTTGTTCAAATGACGAGGTTATTTCAAGGCCAGATGGAACGAAGGTTGATAACACTTCGTTGTACGTCAAATGATCATACGTTAATTCTCTTGTTTGTTGAGTGAGATCCCCAGCTTCATGTTCTTTTAAAATATCCATCACTTTCTGAGGTACGCTTTCCACAGTAGTGTATTTTTCATGCAAAATCAAATATTTATAATCAGTGCAATTGTCGATATCTTCAATGGATTTCATCTTTTTTCGATCCAATAAATGTCTGTCTCAATAATGGATGTAATTGGATGTAATTTAAATTATAAATTAATTTCAAAATGAGTGAGCAGAGTGCAAAGATTGGGTATTAAAAATCACATTGTTCATTAAAAGCCATCACATACCCTTTTAACTTCTTATTTAACACTGAGAGATTTTTGACTGGAACTCTTGTTAAAAGAACATTAATTTTCTTTTAAACAAATTTCTATCTAAAACTCTTGGATATTCTGCTTCTTCCGAAGATGAGTGCTTGCCATTACTTTCCGATGAGGATGAGGATGCGGATGGTATCATTTCATTTTGTTGATGAGAGGACATTTTTTGAGTCTGTGATGAAAAATTCAATTCCAATTCTCTACTTTGGAATGAAATCAATGATGAAGAAATTGCACCAAACATCCGTTGTTGGTATGTTTTGGGAAACGCATTCGAAGTTTGAAAATGGATACCAATGCGATAGATCCATTTTCCGTGAAGCTTATCAAGAAATTTCAGTGAAGAGGAATTGAAGGTGAGGCGATCGGTGATGAAAGGATGGCATGAGGATCTTCGGAATTTGAGAGCCTGAAGGCATGTCGTCTTCATGAAAATTGTAGTCTTGAATTATTTTTATATATGACCAAAGAGTGGAAGGAATGAATTCTTTTATTCCGCATGGTCATTGACAATTCATGGCCACCATGGTGATGGAGAATTATGCACCACATCATGTAATCCAGAGAAGATTCTCTGTACAAGAATTGCGAGAATGGAACTTTAGTAATATAATATAATTGCGTGTGTGTTCTTGGTGTTTGTTGAAGGAACAAAAAATTCAAAAAAGTGATTGGCGCCAAAGCTTGAAAAAATTCCACGACGAAAAAATAACTCAAGAACTCAACCCGTTCTTGCCGCATTCCACTCCATTTAATCCACTGCCTTCCGTTCCTCTTCGACGTTTTTATATTTATCGCCACATCAACAGCTATAACATTCTAAAATGTACTCAAGCAGCAACAAGAAACACCAACAGAAAACTTGAAATCCACTCTCAGCGTTGAAGATGGTAAACAAAAACGTATCGATAAACAAACAAATTTGAGAAAGCAAAAGAGAAGACCTTCTGCAAAAGAGAAGAAAGTACAACCGGTGTTGCACAACACGATCCACTCATCCAAGAAAAACTTCAACAACTTCCTTCTCTTCTTGAAGCCATCAAATCCGGTAACCCAACTTTTCAGTTGGAGGCAACCGTTCAATTCAGAAAGCTTTTGTCTATGGAAAAGTCTCCACCAATCGATGAAGTCATCCAAACAGGCGTAGTACCAATATTTGTAGAATTTCTTCAACGTGTTGATATTCCAGCCCTTCAATTCGAAGCAGCTTGGGCTCTCACCAATATTGCATCAGGAACATCCGAACACACAGAAACGGTTATTAGAAGTAATGCCGTTCCTGTATTCATCCAACTGTTAGGAAGTCCTAATGAAGACGTCAGAGAACAATCTATTTGGGCACTAGGAAACATTGCTGGTGATTCCGCTCGATGCAGAGATTATGTCTTGCAAATGGGCGTTATGGTTCCATTGTTGAATATTATTGCGGAACAACCAAAGGTTACTATTTTGCGAAACGCTACATGGACTGTATCCAATCTATGCAGAGGAAAGCCAATCCCAGAGTTCTCGCTTGTTGCTCCTGCACTTCCAACCCTCTCTACACTTTTATACAATTCTGATGAAGAAGTATTAACCGATGCTTGTTGGGCAATTTCGTATTTATCTGACGGACCTAATCATAGAATTCAGGCCGTTATTGAACATAATGTAGTCAGAAGACTTGTTGAATTATTACTTCATCATCAACCATCTGTCCAAACTCCTGCTTTGAGAACTATTGGTAATATTGTTACCGGAAATGATAGTCAAACACAAGTTGTCATTAATTGCAACGCATTAGCACCCCTCTGCCAACTTCTCCAACATCCAAAGAAGAGTATTAAGAAGGAAGCTTGTTGGACAATTTCAAACATCACAGCTGGTAACAAAGACCAAATTCAAAGCGTTATTGACGCAAATATTATTCCTCCATTGATTCATATCATGGAACAACCTGGAGACTTTGATGTAAAGAAGGAAGCTGCTTGGGCAATTTCGAACGCAACATCAGGAGGTACAGACGAACAAATCCGATATTTAGTTGATAGAGGATGTATTAGACCATTATGTGACTTGCTTTCTGTTAAAGACGTAAAGGTTGTTAGTGTTGCTTTGGAAGGACTAGAAAATATTTTACAATCAGGCGCTGCAATGGCTGAATATACCGATGGAATTAACTTGTATGCAGACTTTATTGAAGAAGCTGGAGGTGTTGACAAATTGGAAGCTCTCACCGATCACCAAAGTAAGGAAATTTATACAAAGGCATACAAAATTGTGGAAGATTACTTTGGAATTGAAGATGATGAAGAAGATGTTGAACCAACAGTCGTGCAAAACAACCAATTCACATTTTCAGGTGTCCAAACTCCAAGCAATTTCCAATTCCAATAGGTTCATTCCCCTTTCCATCTTCCACCAATATCACACCAAGCACATCCCATCCCTCCATCACAAACTTCACTAATCTTCACACCACAATCACCCAACCAAACACACAACACAATTTTGTTCCCCACCATCCACCACATAAATAAACACTACACTTACACTCAATTGACCACGTCAGTATATTATTTGGCTTGCATGCCAAACAGGGAAATTCTTTGGTAGGCGAATTTGTGAAATTCGGTGTGGTAATAGGTAGGTAATCTTTGTTCATTTCTTTTGTTCGAGACCATGTTCAATAAACTTTTTCTTTGCATGTCTTCCAAATCAATAATAATAAATTATTATTTATCTATACATCTAGCCAATTAGATTTATTATAATGAATGTCTCTTGATGAAAGAAGAACTCTCGGAAAGGTGAAACACGAAGAATTGCAGGCTTTGCAACATATGATGGCAGGAACATTGAGACGGAAACGCTTGACTTTCAAAGTTATTTCTTCTTCTTGCTTGCGTTCTTTTGGTCCTTGAGAATTTTATCCACCATATACTTGTTCTTTGGATCATCGGTAGACACTTTACCGAACAAACCGAGGTCATACCAGTCCTTGTATCTTTTATCACGTTCTTCTTCTCTATGTTTTTCAATCTTTGGTGTTTGTTGAGCCAATGCCTTGTTGATTTTATCGATTCTATCTGAAAAGTCAGCAATATCCGATCTCAAACGTTGTGGTTTTATGAATCCGTGCTTCTTCTTGTCTGTATCCAAATCCTTTTCAAAGAAAACCTTATGTTCAGCAGGGAATTCAATTTTATGTAAACATGCTGCTTCATACAAGGCTTTAACTTGTCTTCTTTTCAATTTTGGAGGCCTCCATTGTCCATTAATTTTCAATGGTCGGGCACTGTAGGGCAGCGTCTGTATCAGCTCTTGAACGAGTTTCGGACGTGTTTTCAGCAATCCAAACATTTTTTTGGAATTTTAAAAAAATATTTAAAATATTGTGATGTTCTTCGTCTTGGTTCTATTGTTTGATTCAGCCTTCTATTACTCTCTTATTGCATTATTAAAACATTATTTAATGAATTAAAGCTTCACAGTGCCGGTTTCATCAAGTACCTTATCACCAATCTTACAAATGAGTTTATACTTGACTGGAATTTGGTTGTCTGTGATTGGTTTTGTCCAACAACCTTTATCTTGAACTTTTGAGAGACACTATCGGTGGTATTTGGCAACACAGAAGTGGCAGTGGCTTTGAAGAGTGTCACTTCAGCATATTTTGGAGCTGCTACCTTGAAATCAAGTCCCATAGCCTCCTTTGGATTGTTATTTGAAAAATAGGCAATCACATTGAGAGTATTTGGTTCCAATTCCTTAAATTCAAATCTCACATTAAAATTATTCTTATTGTAAACTTGTACCACTTTCTTTTCTTTTTGTGGAACAAGTGCTTCAAGAGGAAGAGTTGGAGCAGAAAGAACGTCATCGAGAAGAAGATGTGAATCTGAGGATGGTGTTGCTGGTTTGGCATTTGAGCTTGTTGTCGTATCTCCAAAATGTAATAATG